GGGGGTGACCCTATGAGTGATGCTGGGAGGGGTGAATCCTTAGCAGGAGAGTATGAAGAGATGTCGAGGTGCTCATACAGGTATCTGAAGATTTACAAGTTCTTCCAGGTCTCTAAAGGCATGTAGAAATACAATCACAACAGGCTTTGATCCCAAGTTCCATTTTTATAGAATATGCAATTCATATCATATATACATAATTTTTGAGTCCATGCTGTTTTCATTGGTCTGGTGGGAAGTTTTGACAGTTTCTTCTCTAACAGAGTTGGCAGGAACTGATATATATTACAGTTGATTATTCAGCCGTCTTTGCCAAAGCACTTGGAGGGAGGCAGGAGCGGGGGATAGGATGGACATTGTGACTGGTGTGAGTGTTCACTAGGTATTGGTCGACATGCTCTTCCTCAGAAGCTGACCTCGCCACCCCCGTCTTTGTGCCTGTAGATGGTTAGTTACTCAGAGGTCATGCCAGGACAGATGCTGCTCCCACATACTCCTCTCACCCCCTTTCACCCTCCCTTTTGCACTCTGGAAATGGCTTTAATAATACAGTAATTACCACTGCTGGGACATCTACTGTACAGGCCTGTGTCTTCCTGTGCAGACCATCCTTATATGGAGAGTAGACCAGGGTCTATATATCTCTCTTTCAATAAAACCTTAATTACTTTCCCACCTCATTGTGTGTGTGTGCATGTGTGTGAGTACATGTTGATGGACAAACACATGCTTAAGCATTTCCTATTATTCAGATTGACACAATGATACTTTGTAAGGCATCTTGCGTTATAGTTATCAAGGTTTTTTTGTAGGTTTTATTTTCCTCTGTAGCCTTTCTATTTACTTTCTAGGACTGTGAAAGCGTCACCTGATCAAACCAAGAAAGGTATTATTTGCAACAACAGAACAGCTGCATGAAACAGACATAAATCGCCACAATTAATACCAAGCTATATAAGCATCACACCTACCTAATATACAACAAAAAACAGCGTTTTAAGGAAGGACTTATACAAGGATTCCTCACTACCATTTAATATATTTTTTATTAATTCACCTGTCCTTGATAGCTGCTGGACTCATCCCTGAAGGGACCAAAGAGAATATGGGTTTGGCTAATGCAGCCAGTGGAGAATGCTCAGCCCATAAACAAACGTAAATACACTGCAAGTTATCACAGCATTTCTGAAAACTCACTGTCACTGTGCTGCAGATCCCACCACAAAAGAGAGGAAGGCATGGAAAATTTCGAAGGCTGGAAGCACTTACACAAGCCCATTCAAAAAAGCTCTTTCCTCCACTCGTTCGAACTACAAATAAACTCCAGCACATTTTCCAAAGCTATGCTGAAGTAGGAAGGAGAGAGAGAGAGAGAGAGAGGGGGGGGGAGGAAATTGTCATTTGATTTCCCTTTTCCATGCCTGGTACATTTACTTTTTTCCTCTAAGGATGCCCACCCTATTTTGTAAGTACATTCCTATAAGAACTGTAATGCACCCAGAAAGTGGCTTGCAGGGTGCCCTGGTGTACAGATATGTGCATGAAGGGTACGGAACAGCACATCAGGCCTACACACACTCTCCAGGCGATGGGCTAGTCAGCAGTACGCCTTTGGCTTATGAGTGCCTTATCCCACCCATCATTTGCAGATTGCTGAAACAGGTCTCGGTATGAAGCATAACTCTGGAATAACTCCGTTTGGCAGGACAGAAGAGTGGATCACATTAGGCATTTTGTGGTTTTGGTGACTTTCAATGGACGTTTTCTTGACATGGTTAGACATGGTGTACCAGTACCAACAATGTATCCCAGAAAAACACACTCATATGAAATGATATTTTAGGTTTGTGTTTATCTTGGATCTTTTTGGTCCTGAAGGTGAAATGAGATGAAATAAAAGACAACATCAAAACACGAGATGTGGAAAGATTTCAACCTTCGTCTGTAAAATTGGGTGTATGTGTCAGTGTGTGTATGTGTTCAGCCAAATTCACGCCTTCCTCCCTGTTGCTGGTTGCTCACATGTACTGATTTAATAAGCCCTGGATTCTATTTTCTAGTTACCAAGAAGCCCTCATGTTATACCTTCTGTAGCTCAACAATTAGAGCATTACGCTAACAACACAAAGGTTGTGGGCCCAAATCCCAGGGAGCACATATAAATTGCAAACCTTTCCTCTACTGTAAGTCAGTTTGGATTAAAGGTGTTAGATAAATGCAAATGCTCCCCGCTAGAACCAATTAAGACCATTGTCTAGAAGAATGAAAACCTGATTGGCTGAGATTGAGCCATTCATGCAGAAACCAGGTTACATTAACAGTTCAATGCCTTTTTTGGGGCGACACAAAGGTAAACATCTCGGTACAGTGTATTTCCTGCCAGCTCAAATGGTTTTCTTCACTCAGCAATGTCTTGGAGAGTAAAGTTTTAAACACAGTGGGTCCATCAGAGCTGACAACGGGAAGCCTGCAGGTGTGTCCAACAGAAACATCCTGACTGACTCAACAGCTTCCACAGAGGACGTCAATTGTGGCCTGTCTGTGTGAAACTGGTGGACGGCTGCCAAAGAATATAGCTTTTGGACCACAGCTTAGGCTGCTACCCTAAGATGCATTTAGGAAGAGCAATTTCTCTGGCTGAGCAACTTAGGAGCCTCTTCCTCTCAATTCCCTCCTAATAAGAATTCAGGGATGCACATCAAAAAGATAAATCAAGTCTTCTTTGCCCAGTTCAGGACTATAATATTAATTCCATAAGCTGAGCCCTGCCTAAACATTTAGGCCATTATGGGCCATAGGGAAATACCTGGTGACTACATGAGAGAAATTTCAAAATGCTTCTAGGTACCCAGGTTCTGGTCAACAAAGTATTCTTTCTACAAAAACATTGTTCTTCATCAAAGTATTTGACCAAATTAAGTCAGTGATTAAGCCGGAAGATTCTACACCTATTAAGGTACTGACAGGCAAATGTTTACTTTGCTAACAATTTGTCTAAACTGGAGAAAACACTTTATCCAACATAGCAGGCAGTGTGATAATGAGGGACATCCCTAACCTGATGTTTGCTGGTTTGAGTCATACAAGATGCTCTATTACTGTACCCTTGAGCAAGGCATATAATCTGAATTACTCCAGTGAAACAGTCCAGTCAAGAGGAGACTGAAAGAGCCTGAGCTTGTCTGGAAGAAGACGAGACTATTCTGGAAGACACACTTATCCTGGTTGACTTTAAAGACCAGCAAGGTGTACAGTATCTATGGCTGTTTACTGTAATCAGCTGTAATCATTAGACTAGGCCGAATCATTTGACCTAATGATTGCTTCCTTGGATATCACTTATATTATGCATCAGCTTTATAACACAGGTTTTCTGCTGGGCATTTTGTAAAGTTCGTAGATGAGCACCAGCTTTAAACCCTATAATGTTTAGGTTTTTCTTCAGCTGTGAACCTGTTTGCACAATTTAGATTTTATAATTCTGGAAGTTTACATTTAAGCAATCTGTCATTTCCCTGAGAAAGCTCAGCTGATATTGTGTACAAGAAGTAACAGTGACAATGACTGTTATGTATTGCTGCTCTTAGCATTGTTTCATTGCCTGTGTGTAAAGTGATTAACAGTGAAAACTCAGATCGTCTTGCTTATGTACTGTGGCCTCTAGTCCGAAGGCAGGGTGCTGATAATTCACCCTTTTTTTCCGTAAATTCAACTAACAAGGCTGTCAGCTCTCATCACCCAGCTATTCACTCAAAATCATCTTCTCAACAGAGCTTCTAAGCAGCACTTCTCATTTTGATGACTTCTAGATACAAGCCCAGTAGAAAATAGTTTATTTCCAAGTCTTTTTAAGACTGATAATGTCTGTTGCCTGCTGTCTGTTGAAGGTATGGACTGACTCAAAATTACATTCCTACCCACTATGCAGTGTTTACATTAAGTACTAAAAATATATATATATACAATACATAAAATTTATTAGAGAACATTGTGGATTGTTTAATTCTAGCCTTCTAAACTACACAGTTTGGGACACTATAGGAAATTACCCTTCTGTTACCCTACGGCAGGGATCACCAACCTTTTTGAAACTGGGAGCTGCTTCATGGGTACTGAGCCATATGAAGGGCTACCAGTTTGAAACGCCCTCCTAAACTTACTGCAGCGTCGCAGAACAAGGGAAGAAGCAGACCCCGTAATGAAGGAGAAGGATTTATTGAAGGAAAAGCCAGGTGTAACCAAAGCCAAAGGGGAAATCCAAAAGGGTAATCGGTTCGATCGCGGGAGGTCCAAAGCCAGAGAGATCAGTCCTACGGGCAATGACGGGATGAGGAGACGATGGGATGGAACAGAGGATGCAGGCAGACCGGGAAAACAAGGCAGGGAAGGCAGGCAGGGCAATCGGGGAAGACGCTCAGTAAAGGTCATTAGCATGGCAACAATACTTCACAACATCAGGTAGTTTGCTTTCGCTTTAAGTAGCTGTTAGCCACTGTGCTGCCCCGCCCCTGTGGGCATGACACTTATCTAAACTTCATGTATAAAAAACATGTTTAAATGCTTTTTTTCTTAGATATTGTCATTTTCAAATCTATATAAATGCAAATGTAAATAAAGAAGAATAGCAACAGGATAAAATGAAATTTTGGATGCTGCTCACTGAGTTGTGCTATTTTTAGAACAGGTTGGCAGGCGACTCATGCGGTCCTTGGGGGCATCCTGGTGCCCGTGGGCACCATGTTGGTTACCCCTGTCCTACGGAGTCTCTCAGGCTCAATATTACTCTCTCCATTGATTTGGCAATAGCATTAAACAGGGAGATGCCTGACAGATGCCCTGCATAAATGTTCACTGCTGGGTCATAGCTGGCTGAGAAACATGAAACACGTGTTGTACTGGCTGGGGTGTGGATGCAGCAGCACTGCTGGTCTCTGTTAGGTGTTCAGGTGCAGAGGTTAATCTACTGAAAAATGAGTGACAAAGAAGAGCCTGGATCAGGCTTTCCTATACAACATGCCTCATACACCTTAGGCAGAGGACGGTGAACAACAGTGCAATCCACAGCAGAAAAAGGATCGCTTGAAGAAAGAGGCCATTGTCCCCGGTATCTCATTTTTCACATAATCCTGCTTTCTTTACTTAATACCTCTATATTAGATGGTCTGCAGTAATTTAGTTTTTATGGATACTGCTTGTATACTTTCATGGAAAGCACTTTTTTAGTTCATGTGGTTTGTAGATTACTCTGTATTATTCTGTCTTAATGATGTTGTAATGTACCACGATACACCCATGTACAGCGCCTTGGGGCGACTCTGTTGTGAAATGCACTATGTAAAAATAAATTGAACTGAAGTTTGTAGATGAGTAAATACGTAAAGTAATAATTGATTTTATCATGCACAATTTTGTGAAATGTTCCATTACTGTTGTAGGTTTCTTCCAACTCATTGAGCCTCTGCCACATATAATGAGCCTCCATTCATCTCCATCTCTGGCCTACCCAAATGCTGCACATGGAATTACAGTAAAGGAATAAGCTATGGAAGAAATTAGCTGTTGCCATCTTTTCCCGAGGGGGTGCAGGGGTTTTGTGTCAGACTTTGAGACAAGGCCACTGGGCTCGAGCTTCACCTCCCCAGTCTGGACTGTCGCCAGGCTAGTTAAGGGTGAGGGCGCAGTGGATGCAGACTTAGCTCTGGATGCTTGGCACATGCCACCTGTTATAACTCTTCTCCTACACAGTTGGCTCCTTCTCTTAACCTCGCTCTACACCTTGTATCAAGGTAAGTGTTAAACCGGTAAAGTCGAAGGGTGCTAACATCTCTAACTGGGCTGGAGGTTAGTGTTCTCCTGTCTTCTGGTTGATTGACAGTTAGTTTGGTTAAACTCTACAGCGAGACAATCTTCTGTAAACAATCATTATCAAAACATAATTTCTGAAGAAGAATGCCAACAAATAAAAAAATAGTTACGTGTAGCGACATGTTTTACACTAAACCAAAAACTCCATGAATGCAAAAAAACAAACGCTGTTGGTACAGTGCTCACACTGTTGTTATATTAATGATTGACGGAAGGAGTTGGGCCCGTTGACCGGAGGTCACAATGAACACGGGTCAGTGACGCAGACTCAGAGGCATGCGCTAAGAAGCCAAAGCCCAGACACTCATCTCTGCCTCCACCTCAGGACCTCGCTTTTTTGAAAAAAAAAGAAAAGAAAAAAAGAAAAGGAATGTTGTTTACAAAGAAGCATTCAAATCGAGCTTCACGCCTCTTCAGATGGTCTGGGCTGAACGGCAAGTCAATGGTAATGTCATTTCTTGAGTATATACAGAATATTTATCCTTTCCAGTGCAGATGAAAATAAATACTTCAGACATAAGTTTATGGCAATACTTCTCTACTTTTCTGATCAGGGTGGTTTCGTTCAAAGTCTCATCGCTTTATGAATTCGCTCACGATTCTATAGCGTGCGTTCCTCAAGAAGTCTGTTGATCTTTGAGGACGCTTAAGGCCCATCCAACAACATCCAAACCAAGCAAGTAAACTCCAAACCACAGAGGCACAAAATGACCACATTATTTTTAGTTCTACTGGAGTCAGAGCGCTTAGATGATACAATTTCCAAATGGAGGGGAATATTGTTTTTAACCATGTTACTAAATAGTCTGGCGAAAGGGGGCTTTGTAAAACGGAAGAAAAACAGGAAAAGGACACTTTTTTTTAAATGACTAAATTTGTTTTTATTTTCAGCTGTGCTGTAAACTAATAAAAAATAGGCAAATGCATTTTACACAATGTAATTCAGGACAAACAGTTTAACTGAACTTGTTTTTTTTTTAGCTTTTAGTTAAAAAATAACCAGCTTTGGAAACTTTGATGAATCCAGGGCGATAATCAGTTAATTCTTTACTGATTATTGATATTGATTGATAAGAACCATACTAGTTCTGTTCCGGAACTCTCGAGCCCTGACCGAGTCTGACCCTGACAGTGGTATTATGTGATGGCAGCAGGAAATGGCCGTGGACATGCACTTTCTCTGGGGGGAGCACATGGCTGGACAGGACTTAGAGGGCACAACACAAACCAAGCTGGTGTCATTTCAGGGTGGACAGACCATGATGATATCCAGGGTCATAATTTCATAAAAAGAAACAATGACCCATAAGTCTGATGCTCTGTGGACGAGACACTAACCAACCAAGCTAACAGCAATGTATTGCAGAGAGAACGTCACTTAATTGGCGGTGCTTAAATTTTATTGATTTAAATTCCTAAGAAGGGGGTGGGGTGGGGGCAGGGGAGGGGGGGTTCTGCCACAAAAGAAAGTGTTTACAAACCTTTAAAAGTCCGGAACCTATGTTTAGCGCCCAATTACTTTATGAGTCAAATTAAATGTGTTTACTGTTTTAGCTTTGTGAAGGGAGAGCTCTGTGAAAACGTAAAATCCCTGTCAAAACAGTAATGAAAAGACGCATGATGAGATTAGCAGATACAAGCAACAGGCTCTTATATTCCTGGAGCTTGTTCTTGATAAAAGCTTTATTTTAAATAGAAAATATGGACAAAACTTTTTTACTTTATTTTTTTTTTTCATATTTTTACTTGGTGTTGTATTTGTCATAAACCTCCATGGTATAAAAAAAATCACTTATTATGGAATAATCGCAGTCACAACCTACTACCTGACGAAGACACAGTTGGATATTTTATCTGATCAATGTAGGGTGCCTCGCACAAAGGTATAACAGCCAGTCCTCCTAGGGAACTCTGGTCATTTTCACATACATTCAGACTATGTCACATAACTGAAACACTTTATAATGCTTAGTACACAAAATTCGGAGCAAAAACTCAAAGCTTTCCTCCCCGTGATATGAATGCCTAGTATAGGAATATATATATATATATATATATATATATATATATATATATATATATATATATATATATATATCTGGTCACAAACTGCAGGCAACCAGCTTGCTTAAGCCCATGATATATGTGAATTTTCTTATTGAATAAACACATTTTAGTGTTTTTGTTAATACATGTTATCTAATGTTCTTAAGACAAATCATTTAGTCCTCTTTGAAACAGGGATTAATGAAGTGGGCCTCAGCTTCATGGCATTTCCCATCATGCAACACTTCCCCAGTGTGTATGCGTGTGTGTGAAAAGGAAATGCGTGAGCCGAGGTGTCAGTTATTTCATTGGCTGCGAATTGTAACAAACTCCAGGTTGCAGGATCCAGGCCTCTGTTATCAGAGCAAGAAGTACTCAGGGAACAGGAAGCTGGATGTAGGCAGGAGGAAGTCTTGAGCCTCAGTTTATAATATGCACTTTTTTTATTATTTTAAATGCCCCCTGGTTGTCTGGCTCCACATTTTAATGCTTTAAAATAAGTATGATTTTATAACCCTACTTTTCTCTCTTCGTCCATATCAGCAACATTGTGTCCAGACATTATATATTTGTCCAGATATTTTTATATTTGTTCATCGCATTGAAGCAAAAAAAAAAACAGAACAAAGTTTAAGATGCTTACTTAGACTGACCTTCATGGATTTAATAATTACAATTAATCAACGACATAATAAATTTAATATGATAAATAAACAGCCCAACTGTTTTAAGTAAAACGGGTTCCATAAATCAATAAAATTACATAATTATCGTACGGCATGGTCCTAAATCAGAACTAAGCCTTTTGTTTACACAGTTGCAAGCTGACCAGAGCACTCAATGGGTTGTGGATGACACAAAAGCAGTTTTCCTCTAGGGACTTAAAAAAGCATCTTTCTGGTAGTGTAATTAATCTCATATGAGCTAGTCAATGATTAACGAGTTTAAAAATAGACTAACATTCAGCTAATGACCTGCAGCCCAGAATGTCAGCAAGAGCTGCTCTGAGTGAGAGATGCTGTTCTGCTCAGTGTTGTAGAAAACATCAAGGGTGGCCTATATGGTCTCTGCTAGGTTTTTCTGAGTCATTAGGCATTAAATGTCTTAAACACAAACACACACTCTTCTTCTGTTCACATACAGACTGTGTCTCTCTATCTTTAGCTCTTTCACCCGTGCGTGCACTGTTCTTACACACACACGCTCTCAAATTATCTGTCATGCATACACAAATACAGTTATACACACCATTGCAACTTCCTCTTTCAGATGCTGTTAGAGACACACACAGAGTTCTTTATCAGATTTGCATGGGTCACTTGTCATGAGAAGTGCAGGTCCTGTCTCATGACAAATGCACGCACCCACACACACAGTCCTGTGACAGTGCTGCCTCCTCTGGACTAGAGCAACAGGCTTCACTGGCAGCTAATTGTGCGGGAAGGGGAACCCCCATAGCCCCCTTGTCCCCATAGACCCCCTCCATTACGAAAACTGGGCAGGATGCAGGACACGGCAGCTTCCTGAGCAGTCTAAACATGATAGGAAACAAAGCAGGTGACGCTGAACCATCCAGACCCCAGAATATGTTCCAAAAGGTGCAATGCAGGGTCCAACCTTTTCATCTGTTCTGCTTGCTTGGTTTTAATTCTCCCACTAACATATGGACTCGACAAACACGACAGAATTAATCATTTGATATAAAAAAAAGTCTAAACATGTGTTACTAAGGAATAGTTAAACACTTAGTAATAGCTGGCCCAGCAGGACTGTTGAGTCAACCACTGCAAAAGCAGCAAAACCCCATGATCCCCAGCAGAAAAATGACACATTCTCTAACTATGTAGTCAAATTATGGAATTTGATTTAATTACATCCCTAAAAAGAGAAATCATGCACAAAGCGGAGCTCCAAAACAGCTCATTGGAAAGCCAGAGTTTGCCTCCTCCAGTACTTTTCAGAAGCACGTCTAAGGTCATCTGAGGATCATTAGGCAGCAGAGAGGAGTCAGGGTTATGGTCAGGGCTGCAGGTTCAAACCCCACACAGCTCACCTGGGGAGGGTCCTTTGATTATTTCCCCAGCTGTATGAATGGGAAATCAATACAGCATAGTTACTACCATGGTATGAATTTCAATCTTTGACCGGATGTTTTATGCTCAAATCTATAACAGCATTAAATTTTAACAAGTTAACCAACTCACTAGAGCTCTTCTCCACATGAAAAGGAAAACTCGGGCAAAGCAAAAAGGACACTGGAAAATCAAAAATGATGAAGTAAAGTGATACGTAACACAGATAGAATACAGACCTTCTGAAATTCCTGTAATGTACAATGGAATAAAATCTTTAACAGATTCCTTCAGCAGTGCAAATGTGGAAAAATTGTAAGCTAAGTTGCTTTTGGACAAAAGCATTCACATGTAAATAAATATGTAAAAACTTGGTAAAAAGGAACAAGGCTCATTAGAGCTGGCTAGGATAAAACCATTAGAAAACAGGAAATTATGAGAGTCAACATTAAATCTAACCATTGGCAAAAATGCATCATAATCTTGTTATCATGAAAACCTTGTAAAACATTTTCCTCGCTACCCCTTTTTTACAAACTCCTTTTCCAAACCAACTTCCACACAGCAGGCTTTGGCAAGATGCAGGCAGAGTTTGCAAAGCTCAGCATCTGGCCTTGCGCAGGGACCGAAGCCTTTAGGCTGCAGTGCTGAGCTAAAAGGTAGCCATGGAAACGCTGTATTGGACCGTGGACTCATGGCAATGCCTCACAGGAATGAGCATCTATCAGGAAGCCGTGGTTTCACAGTCGTCCGTGGCAGGTACTGTATTACGTCACTTATCGAGTCATGTGACTTAAAGGGAGAAACAGAAAGTGGACTGGCAATGCGTCTGCCACCCTATGTTTCCTGGCAGGCGGGGAGTAGACAGCTGAGGCTGATAGTGGATTGGAAACCTAGATAGCAGAGCTTCACACTGTGATATACAGCCTTCAGCCCTGGTGGATACAAACAGACTGACCGTCTGGACCTTGGCTCATTATTTATTATTGTTATTACATTATTTATTTTCCTAGCAGACGTCTTTTTCCAAAGCGACTTACATTGCTTACAGTTTCACACTTTTATCCCATTTGTACAGCTGGGTATTTACCAGTTCAAACTAGTGTGCTCAGGGGTACTAACAGCAGGTTCCCTCCTGGGACGCGACACATGTGCACAAATCAGTTTCTCATCCCCAGTCGCTCCAGGTTCCCTTTCAGCAGACTTCAGGTGCGGTGCGTTCAATGACCTTCTATTTTTATATGGAACACGGCCTCCCAGAGCTACCTGGAAAAGGTGCTTGAGTGTCACCCCACTGTGAGAACCTCCCACCACTTACACCCCCAGCGATACAAAATGCATGGAGGCTCAGAGACCTCCACCCTGAAGGCATCCCGGCAGAAAGCCTGCAGTGAAACTTGATCTATGTGACTTTTCAGTTCATGAAATCTTCAGGTGTCAAACAGCATGTATCAATGTTTTGCATCACCATCACTCCCAAAACACACGTCAGACACTTTCTCATTTTGGACTTTAAGGTGATTTCCCTTTAGTTCTTTTACTGTGATTAATTAATTATATCTGACAAAACAGAAAAAAGAATATGAATTTATAATAAGCAAAAATGTATAAAGGCTGTAAAAACATAGAGTAATAAAAAAACGTGGGAACTGTCCTAACACTGTGTATCAAGAGTAACTGACATTTATCCCGACAAAGATATCAAATCCTGAGTACACACACATGGAGGGAGCTACATCTACGTGTAGTTTCGTTATTCTCAGTTCCGAGTTGGGCTGTGCACCATCTATGGTGATTATCCATTAGAGTTTTGAAAGCAAACCATAGACATTTCTGAAAGGAAAGCTGAATCTGCTTCTGTAGCAGTATGTCAGTGAGACCTAACACAGTCTTTGAATGTACAGCTGCTTATGGACCGCTTCTTATTTATCTGCTCTTTCCATTTGGACCAGTTTTTGACTGTGAACATTAAAAATGTTCAAATTTCATGAGATTCTGTCCATGATGCCTGGGCCTAGGAGATATTTATGCAAGTCAGGCCTGGGGATGGGTGAGAAAACTCCTAAAGTTTGTAACTTTAGGGCACACCAGTGAACATGTAGAGAATGGCAGTGTTATGATTTCATGTTACTTTCTCAGACTAACCCCGAAGTAATTCTTCAAATAACAATCACACTGCCACTGACAATACATTAAGCAGAAAGACTAATCTGGATGAAACCCTAATAACGGATTTGCAACAACATTTGGGTGACTGGACACAAGGAGCCCAGGAAGCAAACCAAGCAACACCAGAACTGGTGAAGGAATGTGAAAAGGGCTGCATGATCCAAGATCAAAACTGCATGGGCTATTAAGGGATCTATCTCCATCATCCCAAGGAGACTTCTCTCTGCCAAAATCCCTTTTGTGTTGTTTTTTTTTTGTTCGATTTCCCTCTGTGCTTTACTTTCTTTTTTGGCCTTTTCAGAAATTTGAACAAAAGACATCTGAGGTGGAAAAGAGTATGTCCCTTGCAACTAGACACAGAGAATGCTGTTGCGGTCAACAGCAATCGGAAATTGTATCTCTGCTCCAAGGCATCCGCAGACATTTACTAGAACCGGACCAGGAAAGCATCAAAAACGGCATACTGAAGGTCCAGAGATGATGTGGAAGCTGGAGAATCAAACAGTGCCCAATATGATATTGGCAAAAGAATGCCTCTGTGTCATCCAGCTTTTATGAGTTAAAAATTTCAAAGATATTCCCCTCACAAAGTTGCACAGAACACAAGAAACGCAGGCCGACGATTGCGGTTTTTAACCAGAGCAAATTCAATTTCTCCTTTGCTGTTGGAATCCTTGGGACCTCAGTTTTGTTGTTTTGTCTTGGGGAGTTATGACACTTGGCAGATGGAAAACATTGCTGAAATAACCCAAGCGTTGTGGTTTGAAGGGGGGCAGCAACACGGCGGGATAAGCGAAGAATATCAGCTGTATAATTTTACACGGAAGCTTCTTGGTTGGCTACCTCAGCAGGTCAAGCCCTCAGGGTGGTTCGTGAATGCAACAGGGCACTGGATTGAAACCTCAAATAACCTTATGCTCAGTCAAACATGGAATGGACTAACCTGATTAGCACTGTAATTAATGGCCTGGCCGCTACTGTACTCCATTCCGGCTTGCAGCCTAAGCCAGACAACACGCTTTGGCGAGAAGAGCCACTATGACAATAGAATAATGTGACCAAGGGAAGGTTTTCCATGGCCTCTGGTTGTACAGTTACGGCAGCCAAGTAAACAGGTTTCAGAAAATTATGGGGGTGTAGTATCAAGGTCAGACAAATGCTCACGATTCTTCTCCAATCTGCTGATTCATTCAGAGATGGATTAACTTATCTGGGGGCCCTGGCCTGTCAACAGCTTAGATATTCAGATGTCGCCTATTTGATTGTTTCATTTTTTCTGAGGTGGGCCAGAGCCCAGGTGATTGCCGGGTCCCTAGGCTGTAGCCTAGGATAGCATATGCAACCCTGGTTTCTTTGGTACAACTGTGACAGAAGTCAGAAGACTCTGTTCTGCTTCCCATTGCCTTTGTTCCAAGTTGACAGCATCAATATGCAGGGAGGAAACGGCACAGTGGCCTATGACCATTTCTTTTGGCCTGATGCTAGAGCCGATCAAATTTAAAAAAACAGTATAAACTCCTGTGGGAAACCAATTTTCTTTTCACATATGAAACCCAACTTCATCTTGTTACAAAGTGTACAGATTAAACTGAGACAAATCCATGACGGAACAAGGTGAGATGCATATCATGTGTCAGCTTGTCTGAACAATTTAAAGACAAGGACAAGCTTTTCAATAGCCCTTCAAACTCTCCTCTTCCCTTACTAATGGTGCCTCGATGTTCAAAACATAAAACAGGTTCTGCGGTTTATTGTTTTCTGTTCTGAAATGGGTGAACAAAGATGCTTTCTTACTCAAAGTCTTGGGTGCTACAAGGGGTTTTAGTTTCCCTGGAAATGGGTCATACCCACTCATGAAAACAAAGAGGCTGGAAATGTCAAAGAAAACTGAGAAAATAATGATTGTTCACAGAAATCTGAATTCACTGCCGTGTGGACAAAGATTTCTTGTGGAATGGTGGGGGGGGGGGGGGGGCTTGGCATTGGTGTTTTTACACCAACTTAGATATAACACTTTAACCTTGATGAGAACATGCCCCTTTTTACTTATCTTTCTGTATTAGAGATTTTGTTGTGGATAGGCCTAAAGTCCAATGTTTTTTTTTTTAAAGCAGACTTTATATTGCAGCTAAAAGGAAGAGTATTGGCAGGGATGCACATAACTGGTATGCAAATATGCAATCATCTTTAAAAGCGATACATGCCACAATCGATTGTTATAACAGCGCAAATGCATACTTAATTAATGTGCACTTGCTTTGCTATGACAAGAAATTATTGTGCATTTTAACCTTTATATGCTAAATCGTACTTCATAATTTCTTTTCATAGCAGCGCAAATGCACATAAACTATGCATGCATGTGTGCAGTTACACCCACCGATTGCCACACATATCACTTTTAAGGATGAATGTGTACTTGCAAACTAGTTATGTACTGTTGAATATTGGTCAATACCAGATTTTCAGAGGAGACACAGCTGTCAATTTTAAGTTCAAACTGCTGTACACCTGACCATGTGAGTTCTCACAGAAGCCAACTTTGTTGCTTGTTTGGTAGGGTACAGAATACATGTTTCCAAAGCCATGAACCTCAAATAATCAAAACCACTCTGGCTACACAAACAAAAAGGCAGAAACAAACCCTCAATATATAATGCTCTCTTGCATTTACACTGGAGAGAAAAAACAGTTTTTGCATTACATTACAATTTCAACCTGCTTTCTCTATCAAACTCCCAAAGCCACAATTACCCTTCATTCATATGACAATGCTCCCAGGATATATGCAATAAAGTTGATGTACTCAAGAATTACCAGGCCCTAGTGATTGATGGAGAAGGTTGGGGTGACTCATTGTGACCCAACCTCGCAGGTGTGTAGTGCCAGCAAAAACACCTTGAGCTGTAAAGACAGCACTTATTTACCAAGAACAGTGATTAATTCTAACTGTTTTCAAGTTAGGTCCGCCTCTGCATTACTGACACAATCAGGTACGCAGGCAAGGACACACGCTTACCCACACAAACAATGCACAAACCATTCTGTTCCTACAACCTTACAACCAAGAAGTGTGTGTGTGTGTGTGTGGGGGGGGGGTGTTAATATTTACCTTCTGCAACAACTAAATGCCAGATTCATTCTGACACTTTCCTCCCACTGCAGCTCTTGACGCTCCAGAGAGACGGAGAGAAGAACCAGCATTACCTTGTCACTTAAACAGTTAAACGAGTACAAAGTAGAGGTAAGAATTGTTGGTTACCGCTTCTTTTTACAGTATGTCCCGTACATGCTTACTCTTTCTCCCTTTTGTGTAGCCATTTACTCTTTTAATCTGCAGACACAAAGAAGGATATTAAGTTATATAATGTGAGAAGTTTGCGGTTTTTACTGGACAGTAGCAATTTACTAAGAGTGATGCAACTAGCTTAAGAAGTCGACACTAACGGGACTTTGACTTGCCTCAGTGTAAAATTATAATCAGCTATAAAACTGTTGTATCATTTACTTCTGCATAAATGTGAGGCTTAAAATTATATCTGCCCAACAAATTCAATCATCTGCTGTTGGAAAATTTGATATTGACATGTATGTGTGGTTGTCTGTATGTCTGTAAAATATACATAAGCAAATGCATGTTTTATGCTACTACTGCATGCTTAAATATACACATTAAATTAATCAGGTCTACAACATTACAGGGTGATTGTGGGTGAGGGGGCAGAGGAAGTTTTTATACCAGAGAAGGTAGCAGTAGAACAACTAATGTGTGGTTTTTAAAGTAAAAAGACCAATGAACCCTGAGGTTCCATTAATGGTTCTGAACATTACACAATTCCAAAAAGCAACAGCATTGATAGGAGATATGAACTAAAAGCAATCAATGCTGTATTTGTTGAATCAGCACTGTAAATAGAGATGGAATTAGGCAATTTATGTAATTTATTTGTTTAAATTAAACAGGGACAGTGCACAATAAAACCTTGTGTAAAACAAGGAAAGATGCATTGTACCAGGTTTTTACCAACTATTGCTATTTTCCGCCCATATTCCTTGAGCAGGTAGATGGAATGTTAAATTAAAGACAGAATAATATGTAAATGGTGTATATAATACAGGTCATAAAATCTTACATATATTTCATCTCCATATCTCACCCCATCTAATCACTAAATTTCAGGTTGCAACGCAAAGTTCCAGGAACAAAAATTTGAAAGGCACAATCATTCCCATATTGCAAAACTAGTTTGCTCATCCCAACTCTCAAAAATATCTGCAAACACTGCAATGCCGAAATCCGGAACCTCCCACCACACACTTGCACATACACACACACACACTTAATTCATAAACGTGTGCAAGTTTGCTTTAATAACTAATTGCTGAGCAGGAAAAGGACAGAAAGGGTATACATGAAATCAGCTCTGTTGGAAGTGTATTGCACTGATTTATGGCTAATGTTCAAACATTAATGCATTGTTAGGTTCACTACAGTGATGTCCAGCCTTTTTACTAGTGACAGCTACTTTTATAAAGAAAATAATCTGGGCAACTTCTAAGTTGCAACAGTATATTTTGCCGATCAGGGGGTCCTCCTCCCCCTTGCTAGATTTGGCAGTCAGGCGGGAGGGATGGGGGCTGGGGGTGCCGCGATCAACTGAATATCTTGAAAATCGACCTGTCCATTGTACTGTAATTCACCAGTTGCCAACCACTAATCTACAGCAATAAGCAGGGATGAAAAATGTGCAAAGCATATGAGCCTATACACATATGCAAACTAACACAAGAGAAGCACTCAAACTGTTCTGTGGTATTTGTGTTTATGGCAAAGCTGAGTTCCTATCAGACCAGAAGAGTCACTGTTTTATAAATACCTGCCTATTGAGCTTACAAACACCAAAATAGGAGGAATGGGGGCTTCCAAGTAGCGGCTGTTGAAGGGCATCAAGATTTTTCAATAGCATTATCAATAATGCACTTTGCACATGCAGACAATGGGAAATATTTGAAAAATGTATTAATAGCATCTTGGTTGGAGTGAAGAGGTACCTATAAACTAGCCCAAAACAAACCAATGCTTGTTAGATCAATGGTTGCAAAATGTAAATTTCAAATAATGCACATGTTGATCTTTCTTCCAAAAACTGTAAACAAAAATTAGTGACAATTATATCAGAAATATAACAGTAGCTGAAGGGCAAAGCACTGAACTGAACATGTCCATCCCTGGTGGATTTATTTCAAAACGGCGAGTATGAGATAAAGTCCTTTTGTAGATGCTTTATAAGGTTACATTTATTATTTTACTTCTGCTGTTTATAAATGCTTTCTAGGAACTTTCTTTCACACTGTGGTGTTCACGTGAAGTACCTGTCAGGTCTTGGTGATATGGCTGTAAAATAATATCTCGATATTTTAGGTCACTGTAGCGATATTATATATTAGATATTAAGTCAGGACAGAATATGAATTATGGTTTTATTTATTTACATCAATGTCTCCCAACTGGAACACAACAAAATGCATCTCTGCCGAACATAACAATATCACATAAGATGTCAAAAAAATCTCTTTTTAGAAAAAAAATGCTAATTGACTAAATATCCAAGTGCCTGAAATGTAAACAAATATTAAGTGTTGAATAATTAGATTGTTCAGTTAAATGCTTATATTCAAAATAAGACATCAGAAAACATTTTCTGCACTGTTTTGTTGTTCTGCTGAACTGATTCATCAACTGAAAATTACAAATTGACTAAACACGAGTGCCTGAAATGTAAAAAAATTGTATTTCAGGTATTTAACAACTAGGTTATTCTAAAGTTAAGTGTATGGAATCAAACTGCGACTACATACATGTATCATAAACAGAAGCAGGCATACATTGCAAACAAAATCAATATATTAATACATCGTCCAGCCCTAGTAGCTGCCATGTGTGGTAATGGTTATCTTACACTGCAGTTGAAAACAGCATGTTCAAATCCCAAAAGAAGAGCAAGAACTGCTGCTGTGCAGTAGGCAAATAATTTGCTTTACAAAACCTTATATGTACCTTGTTCCATTTTCACCTGCTTATCCTGGACAGGTCAGCAGGAAGGCCTGGATTCTAACCTGGCCAGTGTAGGGAATAAGACTGGGCTACATTCTAAATGTGATGCTTTTCAATCAGGGGCAGACACACACAGAACCACAATTTAAATGGAAATTTAAAGACACAGTTCAGTCTGACTGCAGGTCTTATGCTTGTAGAAAGGAATACCTGCATCAAGTGCACGTGAAATGGGGCAATATGCAAACTGGTAGGGAGGTTAGTTAAGAATTTAGGTGGGGAGAGACGGAAAGCCCCAATAAATATTAAAAGTGGGCACTGTAAAAGGCCTACCCTTTGCGGTCTGTATTTAAATACAGTATTAGAAACAAAATTCATGATTTAGAGGCTTTAATTTCATCAGACACTTACGACATTATAGGAATAACTGAAACATGGATGAGTGACAATGATGGTGAAGAATATAATATAACACGTTGTTCCGTAGAGACCGGATAGGCAAGAAGGGAGGTGGTGTTGCAGTATACAGTACATAAAAGAAAACTTGCAGGCATGGGAGCTCACTGATAAAAATAAAAGTACAGAAGCTGTATGGATAAAACTAGATGCTAAAAAACTCAAATGGCCTAATTGTAGGGGTTTGTTATAGAGCACCTAATGTAGCTGCAGAGGAAAGTAGAATGTTATATGACAATATCAGGATTATGAGTAATAAAAATGATGTGGTAGTTCGAGGTTAATTTTAGTTTCCGGAGAGCAAAGTCCAAAACAAAAGTATAAAATGTTAGGTAGGCTAACTGGTATGAGACTGAAACTAGAAACTGTAAACTGGATGGAGTTAAATAGCAAAATGGTTGAAGAGGCATGGGAATTTTTTAAAAGCACATTGTTGCTAGAGCAAGAGGACTTCATACCTGTTTCCAGCTAAACTAAATCTAGGAAACTACAACCAAGGTGGTTTACTAAGGAAATAAAGAATAAAGTCAGGAGGAAAAGGGCTCTGTTCCACAAATGGAAATTAACTAATGATTTCAAAAATAAGCAGAAATATCTAAGTCTACAGGTTGAGTTAAAAAACAACATTAGACTCTAAAAGGAATGTAGAAAGAAAAATTGCATTGGAGGCTAAGGATGAAAATAAAAGTTTCTTCCAATATTTTAACTCCAAAAGAGCTCTAAAAGCTGAAATCACTAATTTGCAGGATAGTAAGGGCCTTATAATTGAAAATGAAATTGATATACTAAATGAGTTTAATGATTATTTTACATGGGTGTTCACAGTAGAGAACATGAGTAACTTACCACCATTTAATACGAATACAGCGTCGTCTTTGACCAATATATGTATAACTGAGGTTGATGTGGTACTATAAGCCTAGCTAAGCTCAAAATAAATAAATCGCAGGGCCCTGATGGCATCTTACCTATAGTTTTAAAAGAGATGAGGGATATTATTAGCCAACTTTTAACTTTAATATTCCAGAAATCGTTATCTGCGGGTGTGGTACCTTCTGATTGGAAGCATGCTAATATAACACCCATATTCAAAAAAGGGGATAGAAGTAATCCAGCAAACTATAGGCCAATCAGTTTAACTAGCATTGCTGGAAAAATAATGGAAGCTATAATCCAAGTGAAAATGGTAGATTACCTGGATGCAAATAACATTCTGAGGGATAGCCAACATGGATTTAGGAGAGGTAGATCCTGTTTAACGAATTTACTTGAGTTCTTTGAGGAAGCTACAAGAGAAATTGATCACAAAAAGGCCTACGATGTGATCTACTTAGATTTCCAGAAGGCTTTTGATGTTGTCCCCCACAAACGGCTCTTGCTTAAGCTCAAAGCTGCAGGGATTTTAGGAACTGTGGCAGCTTGGATCAAAAACTGGTTAACTGACAGGAAGCAGCGAGTAGTTATTAGAGGCACAATGTCACAGTGGGCCTGCGTTCATAGTGGGGAACCGCAGGGTTCAATTTTAGGACCACTATTGTCCCTAACTTACATTAATGATATTGACACCAATACATACAGTAAACTGGTTAAATTTGCCGACCACACCAAGATGGGTGGTGTAGCAGATACTGATCTAGCAGCGGAGAGGCTACAACGGGATCTGGATTTAATTAGTGACTGGGCTGATACCTGGCAGATGAAATTTAACATAGATAAATGTAAGGTAATCCATG